TTTTTTTTTTTTTTTTTCCTTTTTTTTTTTTTCCTTTTTTTTTTTTTTGTTTTAGAATTTTTCACGCAGTGAAGTATCTATAGAACAAATTAAATCGCGAATTTCATCTTGTTTGAATGTTTCTCCGGGGACGGAATTAGTTGTGAAAAATACAAAAGCGTTGCGGACATTAGAATTTTCGATTGCGATTTTTAATTCGGTTCAGAGTTACGGCGTGATGTTCCTCTAAGTTCTTCACGAGAGATTATACATAAGAATCGAAACTATTTTCCTTCCGAACCGAAACGCAACCATTCGAATATATTTTTATACGATTGGAATATCGAATGACGCGAAGAAAGTTTCACCATTTACCAAGTGTTCTGTCAGCGATGGAAAAAGAATTTTTTAATCTCGATGCAGGCGGGTGACTATTGGGATAATCTCTGCGATCTAACCAAGAAAAGAGGATTCCTATCTTGTATATCGGTTCTCTATACTTTTCACACTCTGCAAATTACTCGAAATGTATTCATCCATTTTGAATGATATCCGACTTTTTTAAAATATTCGATCAACCATCTTATTATAATCCATCGAGACAACAATAATTTTTTTTCCAAAAAATTAATCTTTAATAATATATATTCAACGTATCGTAAAATTTATTTCACAAATTCTCATCGAAGATAAAAATAATGAACAATTGTGTTGTAAGATAACGCAAAAAGTCTTCTTCTGCCATTTTGGATATCATCGAAAATGTATTTCTCTATTACGCGAATTGTATTTTACGTTAAAAACGATATAAATACCGATCCTCCTCTATTTTTGGATAATTTTATCAAACTCAACAAGCGATCGATAGTACTAAGACACAAGTCACACACTGAACGAAGAGCTTTCTTATTTACTGGCAAAAATGTAACGTGATTGGGTGCGAAGTTACACAGCTTCCGTTTCGAAAAATTGATTCTAATTTTAATTTCGAACAAGACGTGCTCGACATTTCGATTTCTAAAAAAAAAAAGAAAGTCTGGCATGGTTCATTTTTTCAAAACGTACGTAATATGAGCTAGGATATAGCAAGGTAAAATTTGTTAGTACATTAAATAATTAAATATTTTGGATAGAAATATAAGGCTAACTTTGATAAAAAAAAAAAAAAAAGAATCTTTAATGCAAAAATCAATGTACTCTATATACAGAATATATGCATTGAAATTAAAATTTATATTTACATCACAACTTCTCTTCCTTTTCGTTTCTAGTAATAAAAATAGTGAAGTTAATATTTATTTTTATTATTGCTTAAACAATGAAAAACTTTAAAAACACGAACAATTTTAAATTAATTAAATTTTAAATTATACATATCCCTTAAAATGTCCTCCTGTATTTTTACAATCTCGCTATATCGTGGCCCATATTACAAAATTACCTCTCTAACTCGAGCCAATTATACATCTTAAATAGCGTCTTAAATGTTTCCTGAAAAAAAGTTCAGATGGCGCTGCAATGCCTCGATTCTCCAAAAGAAAAAAAAAAAGAAAAGAAAAAGAAAAAGATCTTATTCTTCAATAACCAACCTCCAACGAACGAACATAATCATCTACGCGAGTTTCTACATGACGGAACACCGTGTGACGTTGTACCTAGTATCTTGGTCCACATTGTTCACGCTGAATACGCGCAGCAGCCTCTCCGTGTCCTTGCACGCGTGCTTATTGGCCTGCTGCTGCTTCATCAGCATCATTGGCGTCTTCTTCTTCGTCCTCTTCTTGGTCTGCGGCAAGGTGAGCTCGAGCATCTGCTCGAGCCTCAGCCGAATCGGCCAACCGCTCTCCTTGTACTCGTCCTCTTCATATGTAGACTCGTTGCCAGACTTCTGCAACGTCTGGAAGGCGTAATTCATTGGCAACAACTTTCTCGGCTGAGCGAAAGAATCGTGGACACGAACGGGACGAGCCAGGGACGATCTCTTTTTGGCCGGGGTTAGAGGTAACGGTTGGTTTTTCACGGTTGGTCTCACTGCCACTAGATTGTTACCACCACTCTTGGAATTCTTCGAAACCCTTCCCTCGTCCAGACGAGCCAAAATTTTCGCATTCTCCTTCAACGATGACGAGTTTATGGCGTTATTTGCCGCTCTATAGTTCTCCTTCAGAATCAGATTGTTCCCCTTCGCGGTCTTGACCAGCTTCAAGTTATTATTATTGTTCGCGTTCACGCCGGGATTATTGTTGTTGTTGACGACAACAGTGGTCACGTGGCGGCACTGCTCGGCACATTGCAGGCAATCGTAATACTTTTCAACCGCGTTACGTCGCGCCGAAGCCGAGAATCTCTCACGAAGACTTGCGCGATTCTGTCGCTCGCTTGGCTGCCGGGGTTGCTGTCACACCTCCTGAAGATATTTCAACGGGCACAGAGTTTCCTTGTACAACACCTCCCCCTCCTTGCCCGTGTGGTCCGCTGATCTCACGTCTGCCGCGCAGCGAACCATCGCCACGCCATCTACCTCCTCGCCAACCTGAATCACGATCTAGTGGGCAGAATTGGGTAGATGGCGTTAGTGGACAGTACGAACGGACGGTGAATTAAGATGGAGGAATCCACGTGGTTTTGGAAGAATACCTGATCGCGAAGTAGGGTAATTTGATCGGTCAATTGCAGGTTACGGGTAACCTGAAGCGTTTTCTGCCCGGACTCCACCCGCATGACGTACGCGCTGGGAAAGTAACCCACTCGGCCGCCCAAACACTTTCCCTTCCACCAATCCTTCTCCGATTTGTCGATTACCGTCACTTTGTAACCAGCTCTGTGACATATAGATTTCAAGTGTTATTGAAAGTGTTATTTCTAAAAGGTTCTAATAATGCCTTCAATTTAATCATTTTATTTAAAAAATGTAATTAAAAAATGAAGAAGGAAGAAGAAACTTTTGAAAAAATATTTCAAAAAGAAGAAAAAAAGAAAGAATCGATCCTTTTCTAATTCTAGATATTCTAGATACTCGTTGAATGATTACTTCAAGTCTAATTCATCTCGATGCCGCGCCTCGAAGTTATAAAGCACCACATAGAGATTGTTGGGAGGCAACACGCGTTTCCCGGGTGGATTCATATGATTTTGATTATTGGTGTGTGGTGAGGGGCAGGGTGAGGTGCTTGCAGACGAATAAGATTTCTCATTTTCATCGGGTAGCTCCATACTGGACATCCTGATGGCTCCTCTGATGTGTTTATGAACGTTGTGGCCCTGGCCTGGACTGCATGGCGCTGCAATCGAATCATCCAAATTACGAATAAGTATGTGAATTAAAGTTGAAATTATTTATAGGCCAATTTTTCAAATTCGAATCTACTCACATAATCTATTGATGCTTCCACTGTCTGAATGCCTGGGTGGCGTTGATTCTCTCTGGCCACCGACGTAATAATCTCGTGGACGATGTCGAACGTGTGCAGTACCCTCCGGGGAATCCAAGCTGAGACTCTTCATTCTTAGATTCAGCCTCTCGCGTCTACGTTGTGGACTATGCGGCGCTTCATGTTCCATAATGAGCGATTATAGTAAGTTAGCCTTTGAAATTAGCTCGTTGCTCGACATTGACACCATTTATTTAAGCAATGTTATTTTTTTACTTTTTTATTTTTTTATTTTTTTTCTTTACAAGCGAATAGTTAGAAACAGAGAAAGAGAGAGAGAGAGAAATTAGACAAAGTTTGGTTGCAGGACGATACAAATGTGTTGTTAGAAGGATAATTACCTACCCTTTTGTTTTCAAATTATGTCGTGTCTTTTTTTTTTTTTTTTTGCAATTCATCTTCTTTTTTTTTTCAGACAGAAGAAATTGGAAAGTTTGTACAATTTATAGATAGATATTTCTTGATTAATTACGAAATAATTTGTGAAAAATATCAGTTTGTAAGAATAAATGAAACTAAATCAAAGCAAGATGGCAAAGCGAATGAAAATTATAAAAAAAGTTTTGCAATTTTTCGTTGGACTCCGATATAATATATGATATTCAATCTATATGCGTGCAAGAAAATTGCAATATACACAAATACACACACACATATGCAAATACAGATTCGTATTCTTTCATTAATTTTTATATAAAAAAATATTAGGTTTGTTGCAAGAATATATCCGTTTGGCGTCAATGTCGAGACCGGAAGTGTACACATACAAGAAATAAGAACACCATATATAGATATACGATTACACCATGAATGCAGACACAAATATTTTTCTCAATCAAGCGACAACTTCGATCGATATATACACATTTTTTTTTCACAGATAAAAAAAAAAAAAAGATAATTTATTATAGAAATTATAAAGAAAAAAAAAAGAAAGAAAGAAACAAAAAATAATAATAAAAAGAAAACAAAGGAGAAAAAAAAAAGGGACACGACTCGCGTACCAAGAAATGAAAGCAGGGAAGAAAATATTTATTTATATTTACATGATTTCTCCCTTTTTTTTTTTTTTTTTTTTTGACAAAATTTCGAATTTATTTTCGATGCATTGGTTTCACGCTTCAACAACGCTTCGTACTTCATTTTCCTTCTTCCCTTATTTTTTTGTGAAGATTTTTTTCATATTCTTATTTCTTAAAATTTTATTTTTACATTGAAAAGTAAATAGCTTGCATTATTATGAAGAAAAAAGAAAGCCGGGAAATTAGAATAAGATTTGTATAATCATTTTACATTTTTTTCGTTTTTTTTTTTTTTTTGAGATTCGCACTCTCGAAACATTCCCAAATTTTTAAAAGAAACTATATTGAAATAATAGTTATTTATGAGTTGTACGTTTATTTATTCGTTTATAGCTTTGATATAGTAATAATTATCCTAATAATGGATCCTTACCTTTTTTCGTATAATTTTTTTTTTTTAAACAACCTATACGATAAAAATTTCGCAAATAATTTGCGTAGATATAAAATCTATCTTTTTTATAATTTAATTGTGTTAAAATTCAAGAATAAATTTTATAAAATAAAATGAAGAAGTTTTCACAAATTTTCATGATAAAAGGGGATAACAAAATTATTGTTTATCGTTGCATATAATTATATTGATATCTTCCATTCGGCAATTTCAAAGATTCCTTCTTTTCAACAACTTCTCAATGATATTAAGAAAAGAAAGATCGTTACACCAAAGTTTTTTTTTTATTTTCCAATGTGTATTTTTCACAAAGAAAAGTAACAGGATGGGATTGTGCAAATAAATAATATTTTTTTAATTTTTAAACATCGATTCTTTTCTTAATTGAAATGATATTAAACGCAAACATGTTCAAAAGAGAATCGAAGAAAAATTCATGGCAATTCCAAGTGTTCATGGCAATTGCATCGTCAGTTCCTTGATTCACGTATTTAAACAACAACAACAACAACAATAATAATAATCTGAATATATACATATTCGAGAACAGGAGAAGAAGAAACAAAAGTCAATTAATCTTCGTTTTTTTTCCTTTTTTTCTTTTTTTTTTTTCGAAATCAACTACCAATTCCATCTTCGATTCCACGCATTTTCACATTGGCACATCATCTCCACAACCTTCCTTATTACTTCCTTATTATCACACCACTCGAACTTCCACTCTCAACATCACAATTCATGATAATACACTTGATTAAAAATTTCTCCACTGAATTTTACACCTTTGTTATTCCACCCCTTAATCCCAATTAACAATTTCACTTGATCCATCTTAATCAATTCCCAAACTCCTCGATACGTTTCCTGTCGTTTCACCGTCGAAAACTTGTCTTCTTCCGTTCCGATAATAAATAACACTAGTCGAGTGGCGTGAAACTTTTTATTCCCCAAGTATCCCATCTTTCCCTCCCTCGAGTAGCGAAGAAACGTTGTATCTTCATTCCACGGGTCATCGTTTCTTGTTAGTCGAGCGATAGAAACGTTCCATCGGCCTTGGAGACGAGGTCGAGGGCGACTCCTGGCGGCTCAGTACCAACGGTTGGCCGAACGGCCTGGTCGCAGACATCGATCCACCGCTGCCCCGTCCTGGTCAATGGAATTGCAACGATTTTTCCCACATTATTTCCTTTCGCTATTCCTTTCGCGCTTTCCCACTCGCGAATTTGCGGATTTCTCTCTCTCAATGCAAAACGCTGTTCAAACCTGTTTTATTGTATTATTGAAGCTAAGTTCTGCTTGTTAGTAGGCGCACAATTTCTCTGGGATCTCGATATCAAGCGTCGGTGGCGCTATCTGGCGGCGTTCCCTCCGTACTATCGCGTATTACTCGTCTCTTTCTCTCTTCGATAATTTTTCTTTTCTTTTCTTTTCTTTTTTTTTTTTTTCTATTCCGCGATGAACTTGGTTAGTTATCCATTTTTGGCTCGATTAGCTGTTCTCCCGCTGTTATATTTGCGATTTTGGAGACTCGGGAAATTGGCGATAAATAAAGTTGGTCAATAGTTTGGGATCATTGATTATTTTATTATTAGTTACTTTTCTTTTCTTTTTTCTTTTTTCATCTAAATGACCGAATAATTTTGGTTAAAAAGACATTTTTCTAATATTATATTCTCAAGAATATATCATTTTTTTTCTCTTTTAACTCTTTCGAACGATTTATTTTTGACTGTACAATAATCCTTCTCTCTAATGTTTTTTTTTTTTCTTGAGATGTGAACACCGTGTGAACACCGTTACGTAAAATAATAAAATAACAAAAAAATATCGGCGAAAAGAATTTCCAACGAATTTTCGCTCCTCGTAAATGTTATTATCACACGATTATATAATAGATTCGTCGATTAATTATTGATAGCGAAAGAAATCTGTTTTGGAACTATTCTTACGTGTTATATAACAATTCCAAATATTTTAATCTCGATCAAAAAATTTCCGGATGTAAAAAGCGGTTCAATGATTGTGAAAGTATAAATGAAAAATAATTTTTCCAGGTGGTTAGATCCATCAGTATTCGCGGGGAATTATTTATTATCCACGGATAATAACAAGCATCGAGGTGACAGAAAAAAAAAAATATACATATATACATATATATATGGCGCGCTGGTAAAGAGGAAGAATGAAGATGAAGTAGGAGGAGAGAAATAGAAAGAGAGACAGAGAAAAGATCGGAAAGACAACAAAGAAAGAAAAAAGAGGCAACGTTACGAGTCATGTCCCTGAAGAAGACTGAAGTATATTTATGTTGATCAAAAGAATAAAAAATAAAAACAGGGTCACCTTGAAACAGAGAATTGCTCAAGAATTATTGCAAGAATTTTTGATGACCGATGTAAAATCTCTCTTCAGAGTTGCATTCTGTGTCTTTTTTTTTTTTTTTTATATATATAACGTAATCCTCTTGGGATGGAGATATATTATTCATCGTTGACAAGGTTTGATTTTCTTTTTCTTCCTCTACTCGTTTAAAAAAAAAAATATTATTCAATCAAAACTTTTCAAAACTCTTGGTTTATATATCTTTCTTTTTTGAAAATTTTATTCTTTTATTTTTTTTTTTTCTTGGCACAGAATTTCAACAACGAATCGAACAACAACTGAAATTGGACCAATTTACTTCACATTGTACCTTTAGAAGAACTTAAATAACACCTTCCACATTCTCTCCCATAGAAACAAACTATTTTTAAACGTTGGCCAATAAAAAAAACTTTCACGATTTCATAATTTATCGACGAACAATTCGAGTTCCATTTTTCAAATAACCCTCAAATAATCTCTTTTGCACGATAGAATGCGTCTGAAGAGCACTTTTTTTATCCAACACTTCGCCACTATTTTTATTTCAGGAATTGTGTTTTGAAATTGTATTCTTTTCTTTTCTTTTTTTTTTTTTTTTTTTTTTTTTTTGTTTTCAAATAGAGATTCTGCTTCAAGGTAGAGAGGAATTGGTGCTGTGCCTTACCAGAGGTGGACGAGGAACAAGGGTGGGAGGAGGCCCTCGCTGACGAAGGTGCTGGAGGATGATCTGCTGTGGGAGGCGTAGGTGGTGAGTTTGTCGAGTTTCCACGGATCTCGCCTGCCTGCTTCAGCACCTGGTATATGGCGTCCACGTCTGCCCACACGAGATAGAGAGATAGCAAAGGGATAGCACGAGTTGCATCGCACGAGAGATGCTTTCTTTCCTTTCTTTTCTTTTGTTTCTGTTTCGTTCGTTCTCGTTCGTTTCGTCATTTCTCGTTTCTTTTATTGTCCTCAATAATTGTGTGTGATTTAAATCACTAGGTTTTTTTTTTGTTCTTTTTCTAAAGGCAACAAGTGTCTTTAAATACCCTTCCCCTTCTGGAATACTATTCACATGAATTGTACATTTATATTTTTATATATCTTTGAAGAAAAGGCAAGAAAAGCTTTACAAATTTAAAAACACTTGTTCACCTATATATATATATATATATACTTCAATTGAGTTTGATTAATTGTACATTTATATTTTTATATATCTTTGAAGAAAAGGCAAGAAAAGCTTCTCAAATTTTAAGACACTTGTTCACCTATATACATATATATGCTTCAATTGAGTTTGATTAATTGTACATTTATATTTTTATATATCTTTGAAGAAAAGGCAAGAAAAGCTTCTCAAATTTAAAGACTCTTGTTCCCCTATATATATATATATATATACTTCAATTGAGTTTGATTAATTGTACATTTATATTTTTATCTCTCTTTAGAAAAGGCAAGAAAAGCTTCTCAAATTTAAAGACACTTGTTCACCTATATATATATATATACTTCAATTGAGTTTGATTAATTGTACATTTATATTTTTATATAT